GGGTTTATAAGTGTAGGACAATATTCAATTGGGATGAGGCCTTTTGGGTAGTATCCAAAAGTAAATTCGTGAGGGTCCAGGCCCAAAGCAAATAATATCATACCAATGTGGAGTTTGGCAGGTCCTAACAGTATGCATATGGTGCCTTTTTTGCTTTGGCTAGTGGAGATTTGAAGCTTAGTTCAATGTTAAAGGATAACATTTCATATTGAATAAAGATGAAAATATAGATCAATTATATGGATTTTGGCTACTCTTCTTAACAAGATTAACTTTTTAAAATAAAACCTCAAATTTAATATGGTATCATTACTTATTGAACTCAAACGAGTAATTTGATCCTATTAAAATTCAAAAAAATGAGCACGCGGATTTTAAGATTGGTTTGTTTAAAAGAGTCAGCATCTTGCAAGAACATATTAAGTGATAAAATCACACATCGAATAAAGATAAAAATATAAACCAATATATAAGGATTTGTACTACTCATTTTAACAAGGTTGACCTTTTAAAATGGAACCTCAAATCTTAACAGTTCATAGATGTAACATATACCATTTAAGATGCACTTTTTTTAAATAATCCGTAGCAAGCCTAAGGGTTCTTCCTTGCATTAATTTCTCGACAATTTGTTATGAGCTGATTTCTCAAGGACAATGAATATTTCACAAGGGTTTACAGCACATTAGACCGTGCTTAAAATGAAAGTAAAAATCGGTTAAACTTATTTTTGTTTGACGAAGTTTAAAAAGGTTTTGATCGTTATTAAATGAGATTTTTTTTAACAAAGTCTTTCAATGGTTTTTGACTAGGTTAAAATGCAACTACTTTATTTGATAATGTAGCTTTGTTCGGGTGTGATTTGTGTCAATTTATTTTCAGTTATAGAAAAAGAATGACGCGTGTTCTGGCATCCCATGCTAGTTTAGATATGCATTTAATTCATTAGAAAAGTATTAGTTTTTTGTTTGGGATGACTTGATTTAATGAAATCTTGTTAGAAAAAATATTCATGAGCGAATACTGATTTAACAAATATCAGATTTACAACACATATCGAATATGCAACTTACTGGATATGCAACTAACATATCGTATATGCAACAAACATACTGGATATACAGATTACCGTGTAGACACTAACTTACCGAATAATAGCTAAGATATAGCAGATTAAATAATTTGCTAATCACTACAACCAAAAAAAAGTTATATAAATCACNATAGCAGATTAAATAATTTGCTAATCACTACAAACAAAAAAAAGTTATATAAATCACGATAAAATACAACAAATAATCTAAATATTAGAGAATAAAAATTCAATTGAACTTTAAAAAATTGAGGCATGTGTGAACACAGTTTCCTTAAAACATATTCGTCCCTACATCGTAGGTGCTTGAGATTTAATTTGAGCATCTGTTTCCTAGAATACAATAGTAAATCAGCAGAGCTCGAACACTGCAGATTCTACTCCGGTGAACTGACTTAGTATCTGAACAATATCACCACCAAGATCTTAACGGACAGTAAATTATGTATGCATACGGAGGATAATTTCATATACGGATATCGATTTTTTGTGTGTTTCGAAATTGTAATGCAGACAATGTATTCTTCACGCCTGGAATAGTGAAAAAAAAGAGGCTTATATAGACTTAACCCCAGTAATGACGAGTTAAATCTGTCCATTAACTCTATGCAAATAACCATTGGAGTTTCAACAGTT